ATCTAATCCTACTCAACGACAACAACACTATATTTGTAAAGTGCCTTTCACGTCAGGAGGTCGTCCCAAGATGCTGGACAGACAGAGTCACGGACCCGAGCTGAGGGCCAGGGTCAGGGAGGGTGGAGGGCGGGATGGGGGAAGCAGGGAGATTGAACGCACGGTTGATCTCCAGTTAAGGAGGTTAGGATTGTAGAATCTGGAGGCTAGGCCACTGATAGTGACGTATAGGGACACACAGCAAGTCTGAGTTAGCTGAGTGAGGGGACGAGCGGACAAGTTGGGTAGGAAGAGATCAGACTTAGTGAGGTGCTAGGGCATGAAAGGATAAAGAGTAAATAGAAGAGAGTGAGGACCTTGAGTTCAATCTGATGGCAGACGGTGATTCAGTGAAGCCTAGTGAGGAGCGAGGTGATGGGGAGGTTGTGTTTGATGAGGTTAGAGTTTGGCGGAGTTTTGGATAGAGTTTACGGCTGGAGCTAGGGACACCAGCGATTAGCATTGTATTAACATAGCACCATAGGAACAGGAGGAGCCCATTCAGCCCACCGAGCCTGTTCTGGAATAAAGTTAGCAGATCCATTTCCATGCCATTAATTTCTCCATATTCCCTTAATCTCCTTATTTTCCAAGTATCACTTTGTGTAAATGAGTTACGCCTCTACGCCCTTTTAGGTCAATGTGTTCCAGATTCTCACAACCCATCGTGTGAAGCAATCTCACTTTTAATGATAAGTCAAACTTTTTGCAAAGACTGTGTCTGATTAATGGAGCCTTTCCTTAGCATTTTAATCACAATTTCACGGATCGAGGGACAGGTTTTTGACATGCGGTGTATTTAAAGCGGTGGGATTAATATTGTGGTCTCAAAGTACAGATGGTATGTCATGAGCTAGAGCAATTTAATACCCAATCACCAAGTTTTGAATCTGGGAGGAGATAGAAAATGCAAACATTTGTAAATTGCGAAGATGCTTTTCTTCCCCCTTACAGATTCTTTGAGGAATTACTATCTACTCTATCAGCTAGCTATAAAATTGTGACTGAAATTAAGAATCTCCCAAAGTCGTTGAATCTTTCTGAACTGCTAAGAGTTTTAAGTCTAGACTTGAATGGAATTATTCACCCCCCCCTCACCCATCATCCCACTCCCAGGTCACTATCCAATAAAGCTTGCTGCAAAGCACGTGTGTGAATGTTCATTTAGGTCTTGACTGTGTTGCCTCAGTGACTCAGGATGGGAGAAAATAAGTGGGGGCTTAGGAACAGAGCAAAACAAGGAACAGAAGGAGGCCATTCAACTTATCCAGCCCATTCCACTAGTTTGCTGGATCTTTTATTCCCAACGTCCAGCCTTTTCACCATTAACCTTCATGCCCCTACTCTCCATGCATCAGTTTGTATTTCGTCCATTCATCTCAGACGTAGCCTCAGGAACCAAACCAGTATTGCATTATTAAATGCACAATTTCTGGTGTGTAGGAGAGGGTTGTGGTGAGTGAGAGATAGATGGGTTTACATTGCATCATTGTACGTGGTCTTTAGTAGATCGTTGCCCTCGCATCAATGGATTGGGTAGTTCTGGCAAATAGTTGGCACAGGCACGATGGGCCGAATGGCCTCCCTCTGTGCCTGTGATATTCTATGATTCTAATTGGGGTAAACATAGAGGTGGAGAATCAAACGGGATGAAAGCTCCACCCAGGATGTGGTGACAAGTGGTTGCAGAATCCCAGGATCAAAAAGGAATTTCAAGCACCCAACCCTCGGGTAGTTCAGTTAGTTCATGCTCTGTGATTGTCTGGACAAGCCTCACTGGTTTCACTGATATTAGAAATAAATGGAGGGATTCCTAGAGGGACCAATTAAAATGATCAAGCTAATCTCAAACCGTGACTCTGCCAATTACCTTGCTCTGCAGAGCAGTGAAGAATAGTTTTACGTTAAAGTTTGTCTTTGGACGTTATCGAAGTAAACAGATATCAGTACTGCAGAAATAGGAAAGCTTTCCGCATTGTTAGATCTGCTGTCAGAATTAAGCTGTCACACATCGGTCCCATTGAAGCAGATTGAAACCAGTTTGTCAATATTGGCCCAACGCTAATCCAACCTGAGGTCAGCACCTCCTATTTTTATTAAATGTGTTATTGAATCTGTTAAGAAACATCACGTTTTTTCATCTGTTACCGTCAAATAGCTATCAGTGCTAATTCCGATCGTACCTTCACGACCTGCGTTAAGCTCAAATGAAAATTCCGTGGTACCATTTGGAAAAGAGAATGGAGTTTTCTGCCGGAGATTGGCTAACAATCTCCCCCCCCCCACAACCACACACACACACACACAGATAAAATTGGTCATTCGCTTCATGGTGTTTGTGAGACATTGCTGTATGCAAAATTTCCTGTTGTGTTTGCCTTCAAAATACATAGTCGTACACCTTACAGTATATCCTGTGTAGCACACCTTGAGATGTCCTACCTCCCTACCAAACTGCCCGCTCCCTCCGTTCAGCGGGCTCTGGCCTGCTCCATGTCTCCCGCCCGACCCGCCCTAACATCGGTGGCCGGGCTTTCAGCCTCTCTGCCCCCACACTCTGGAACTCCATCCCACGGTCCCTTCGCCTCGCTTCTTCCCTTGCCTCTTTCAAGGCTGGTCTCAAAACCCTTCTCTTGGACTGTGCCTTCGGTCGCCCTCCCATCTCTCTGCCTTCCCTTACCCCTACCACCCCATGCTCGGGCCCCGACACCTGACTGTATAGCGCTTTGGGACGTCCTCCTGACGTGAAAGGCGCTCTAAAAATGTAATTTTGTTGTCCTCCCATCTTGCATTGTAAGCTGGGTTCAACGAGATATTCTGGACTCTTGAGTTTTTTCTTGTAGATGATCATTGTGACTTCCAGTGCCACCGACTCAGAAATGGAAGAAGTTGGTAAATCGATGCCTTTGTAGGTTCAAATTCAAGACGCTTAATTTCCGCTGCATTGGCATTGTCAGCCTCGACTGCGTGAGTTGAAAGTCTGACGCCACAACCTTCTGACTCAGAGGCGAGAGTGCTACCGACTGAGCCAGGCTGACACAGCATCTGAGCTCTTAAACATAAGTTACAGCTCGAAATATCTGCAGCTGTCCATTTTTAGGACTGCCAGGTTATTCTTGAAATTCACAGGCAATGGAGGCTTCGGATAGTTAAGCAGAAGTAAGCTTGAAACGCTGGGATTGTTATAAAACCAAGGAAGCACATTGACTCTCTGCCTCTCGCAATTTGCCTGTCACTGTGGAGGCTGAGGCCGAACTGCGTTAATTCAGCGTTTGAGTCATCTGCAATTTTCGCACCTAATGTTTCTTTTGTGCGGAGTCTGATTTTCTCTCTACTGATGTTAAATATAACAAGAATTCCCTTGGTGTGGCAAAGCAATTGTAAGAACATCGATGATTTCTCCTCTTTCCACCCTCCCCCCCACCTTCTCTCCCCGGTGATTGGACCATCATAATGCGAAGGTGGCAATTTAGGCATCAAAAATCACACCTACGCACCTTCATGCTTTGTTAAAGTATTAAAATAATATCAAAAGGTACAGGGAAAGAGTGGAACAACTAGAGTGTGGTGAATAATCTGACTGGGGAGCTATTTTCGGTCAAAAGAGCAGTAGAGTGGGTTTAAGGAGGTTCGGTTAGGATCCTGCATTAACACAGGTATGATTGGGGGAAAGGGTAGTGAATAGGTTTGGAGTAGAGAGCTCCATGGTGGAAGCTTGAACAATTACAGAAGGAGGCTCTTGGGATAGTGATTACCTCCTGGTCATGAAGCTTGTGGGTTCAAGCCCCGAGCTCACAGTCTAAGTGGACGTTCCAGTGCAGTGCCAGAGGTGCCAAACTTCAGATGAGACTTGCTTGTGTGCATGTTTCGTGTGTGTGCTTTCCGTCGAGTTCTGCGCGTGTGTGTTTCCATTCAATGTGCGGCGTTTTAAGACAGGTTCAAATGATAAAAAGGCTCGTTCTGCCCAGCTGAAAATTTGGCCTGGTTTGCATTCATAGTTTTTGCTGATAAAAGAGGTATTGGAAGACCTAGAGCAAAGCATTGTTGCGTCAGGAGCCCTTTAATGGTGTGCTTCTAAGCCTGCTCTCAGACGCAGTGAGGATAGAGAGAAACTGGTACATGTGTTAATATAATCTGGATACCAGCTGCAGAGCTACACTGAGCCTGGCCAGAGGCTTGCTACTGACAGTTAGTCTCTCTACGTTACTAAAGATAGAATGCAAGTCCAAACTGGGCTGTAGATGATGACATTACATGCTGCTTTTTATTGTCACGCCTTATCCTTCTGTAGCCACAAAATAGAGTGTAGGAATGCATTGTTGTGCAGGGTCTGAGACGGTTTTAGTTAGTAATTGAGGAAATACAGAAATGATGCACATTTTACAAGGATACAAAATAGGTTGGGACGAGGAAAGCTCTTTGGTCCATTTGATTCTCATCCTTCCAGAATCCCCACAGGCAGCAAGCTGCTAACCTTTACTCTCAAAGATTTACAAAGAAATGACAGCACGGAAACAGGTCTCTGCGCCCAACAATCTACGCTGATGGTTACACTGCACACAAGTCTTTACCCATTCCTTACTCCCTCCCATACCCCTCTGTTACACTCACCCACACGTGAAGATCTAACTTCCTTTTGAATGCATCCTAGGCAAGTTTCCTGACACCACGTGCCTCTGTTTACCTAGTAATCTGGTTGTTAGTCGATTGGCGGATCCCTTTCTGGGGGTAATAATCAGTTTGAACAAAAATTATAATAATAATTTAGTCACTCACTCCACGACTGTTTGTGGGACACTGCTGTGCACAATTGGCTGCCACGTTTCGTCCATAAAATACAAAGTCAATTTACTTTACAGTATATTCTGTGAAGCGCTTTGAGTCATCTCAACGATGTGATAAGGTGCTATGTCAAATGCAAGGATTATAGTTATTATTTAAAAATTATTCTTTTAACTCAGGTGTCACCATGAAGCTGATGGATGAAGTGGCTGGGATAGTAGCAGCTCGGCATTGCAAAACCAACATCGTGACTGCCTCGGTGGACGCCATCAATTTTCACCACAAGATTCAAAAAGGTACATTCTGCACATTACTACTACAGTATTGTATCAGGTACACAAACAGAGACCTGCTTCATTTCGCCAAATGCTGCCAGCACAAGAGGGGCTTGGATGAATATTTGATCTCATCTTTCCGGTTTCTCACCCTAAAAATATTTTATTCAGGTCAGTGTGACTCCTTTGCCTGTGATCATAAGGTTCCCAACTTTTAAAATATATATAGTAATAATAATTTGGTCACTCATTTCACAACGTTTTGCGGGACGCTGCTGTGTGCAATTGACTGCCGCGTTTCACCCACAAAGTATACGGTCAATTCACTGTACAGTATATTCTTCTGTGAAGCGCTTTGAGACGTCTCAACAACGTGATAAGGGGCTACATCAAATGCAAGGATTATTATTATTATTATGACCAGTTCGAGTATCACACTGAGACTTGAGCTCATAATTCGTGCTGATACTCCCAATGTAGTGGTGCAGCACAGTAAGAGGTGTCATTCCCTTCGGATGAGACCAATAAAACAAGCCTTTTTCTGCCCTTTTCTGATGGTTCAGGCGACTATTAAATTTCAGAGTGAGGAATTGTCTGGTGTCTTGGCCAATATTTGCCATGGTGGAATTTCCGGAGTGTTGTTAGAGGTTGGAAATAAATTTGAAATCCTTTGGAAGTGAAACTGTTGCATGTTCTGTGCAGTTCTGGCCAACATCTCCGTAGGGGACCATTTCGCCTTCCAGACTCTGCCAATTAGCCTGCTGGTTTTCGCCTGCCCGATCCTTCCTGCTCGGGCTTTCTTTAATGAACTGCTGACACACAAAAAAAAACTTCCCGGTTTAAGCGGTGAACTATTTTTGGTCCAAGTAAGATCACGGAAGGTTGTAATTCTAAGTAAAGGTTAGCTGGATGTTGTTTTTTCAAAAACAACCAATATTTCAGCTCCAGAAACAGCTAGCTCTAAACATGATGGCATTTTTGTTGTGAGTGGGGTTTGGACTTGACGAGCGTTGAGTCAACCAGCTCTTTTACCCTTGGTCTCTTTCAACCTTTCCCTTGGCAAGTTCTATCTTTGTCCATGTGGCACATGTCTTCCTATTTTTACTTACACCCTCCAGGATCTTGTGTTTATCTGCATTGGGATCTATCTTTGACAAGTGTTTTTTTTTTGCAGCATATCTTTAGAGGGATTCCCTGTATTTTCCAGCAGAGGTCACTGAATACTGACCCTTTGACCCTGCCTTCAGAAGCCTATTTATCCCTTGGACCAATTATTTGGTCAACCCTCTCGATCTCGCCCTCATCTCATTGTTTAGCACTATCTAGACGTAGATACATAGACATGAAAGAGCAACGAGAGAAAATGCCTAGAAGCTCATCAAAGGCCACTCCTTGGAGAATGCTCCACCTCCGCCTCCACTACACCTACACAGACTGGTAAATCTATGGAACAGGCTCCCGAGGGATTCGGTGGAGGCAGATGGTGTCAATTCATATAAATGCAAATTCAATAGATTTCTTTTAAAAAGTAATACAGTATTTTGGGACACAGTATATGGTTATTTTGAGACATGACAAGTGTCGTATTGCTTGGAAGAACTAGACAACTTTGGATATAAGATTCCCAAAGCTTTCCACTTGTGTTGGTAGAATAATCCATACAGAGTTAATTGTTATCAACATCTCCATTATTGTAGTATGTGACTACCAGGATGGTAGAAGACGGACCTTGGTCTTTTTCTCGTCTAGCAATTCCTATCTACCTACACAACTCTCCTCGTTGCTGAGGGCTCAGTCGCTCCTTCTCGGGAAAACTGAAAAAACATCCGCCTATCGGTGTTGTGAAGCACTTTGAGACATTCATCCCTTGGACCAAGTATTTGGTCAACCCTCTCAATCTCGCCCTCAAGCTCGTATGTCACCTCACCAGCCTAACCAGCAACACAGATATTGGGTTCGTCAACAACAGCAGCAACCGTTTTTATTTACGTAGCAAATTATAAGTTGGGAGGACCTCTCAAAGCATGTCACACAGCTGACTGGGCAACCGAGCTGGGGAGCTGAGGGAGAGGAAGGCTGAGGAGGGTGGGAAGGATGAGAGAAAGCACGGGCCAAAAACATAGGTCTTAAGGTGGGTTTTCGAGGTGGGGAGGGAGGGAGGTATTGAGAGCGGGAGCAGATTTAGCATTTTCTCTGCATCACTGCACACGACAAGTATGGCTCATTCACAAACATTTGCTGATTGGGGATGCTTAGTGTGAACAACGCCAGGATCATTTCATTTCCTTTCGACTCTCACTCTGGTCTGTCCCACAATGCGTGTTCCAATTCCATTGGCAGTTTCAGTCAGCCAGTTTGACAATCTATTCAACATTTGGACGGTCAATCAGCTCGCTCAAGTGGTTTTCACGCTGCATCTTATTTAATGATGTGCCGCTGATTGTGAATTCATCTTCTCTATATTTAGATCCAATCTGTGTTCCATTACATTGCTCAACATGAAATCATCTGCCCAGTTGTTAATCGAATGTAGGTCTCTTTGAATGATGTTGTTCTCCTCCTTTGGCGCATCCTCTCCTTCCTTCCTTCCTCCCTTCCTCCCTCCCCCTCTCCTCTCCTCCCTCCCTCCCTCCCTCCCTCTGCTTCTGCATTTAGAGTGACATACCAGAAGCCCAAATGTCCGACATCTGCTTGCTGCAACGTCACTTCCTGTGCTCTGTGTACGACCTGGGAGTCGGACATTTTGGCCATGCCCATGCTTGCGGGATTCTACTGTAACTTCCACAAGGTCGAACATGAGTGCCCCGAGCAGCAGGAGTTCCAGGATAGATCTTCGGGGAAATGTCACAGCTAACGATTGAGAGTTATTACCACTGAAAGCTGCCATCTGTTTCTGATTATTTTACCATTTCACCGTTCGGTTCGCTGCTTCACCTTAAATAACAATAATCCTCGTGTTTGATACAGCGCAGTATCAGGTCATCGAAACATCGCCAAGCACTTAGAATTTGCTGTAAAATGCAGTGACTCTATAGTGCTGTAGACAAGTGCAACAGCCCAAGAACATCCCACCAATAGATGTTAGTAATTTATCTGGAGAACGTTTGCCCAGGACATTGGGAGAAACATCCTTCTCTTCTCCAACAGCGCTGCAGAATCTTTAACATCGACCTGAACAGCTACAGATGGGACCTAAACTCAACACCTCCGACAGTGCAATGCCCCTCAAGCACTGCATTGGAGCGTCAACTTAGACCCGACCTGAAGCTTCCAAATTAAGACATTTCCAAAATAATACACACATATGTCCATTATAACTGATTACTGGTGTTGCAGTTCTATATACACCAAGTCAGTGAGGCTGGTTCAGGGATGTTTTGCACATTATTTGTTGAGAGTTCTGCCCTGCTCTCTGTGAAACACTTTAAACAATCCATGGAAAAAACTAAGACTATTTAAATAGGAGGTGATAAGATCCCAGCACTAGATTTCCAAAGAGTGTATAAATTATCCTCAATTGTGACCATATTTTCCCTAATCTGTCACATACAGCTTGTTAGACCATTTCCTGAGTGCTGACCTGAGTAATTACGGTTTTGAAGGCAAGTTTCTCACTGGAGATAAATATAAGTGCACACATTAAACCCTTTGATACAGTATTTCTGATGCTGAGGTCTAAAGTGTGAGATTTGCAAAAGGATTAGGGAATAGCAAATGCCAAATGTGCTATGGCCGACCGTGTGGATCACTTCTCATTTGAGCTCGTGTTGGGGCAACTTTAATGCCCGCCTGGATGAACAGACAGACCGACAGACACACAGACAGAGAGACAGACAGACAGACGAGGCTTTGGTTTAAAATCTTATCCGAGCTCCATCCACCCCCGCTGTCCTGGAGATTCATCCTAGATGGCGAGTTCTCAACCCCACTCAGGGCTTGAACTTGCAACCTTCCAACCGACCCACAGCCGAGAGTGCTGCCGACAGAGCCAGGCTGACTCAGGGTACCAGCCGCAACCAACGTTCACACAAGCGAGTGCGCGGTGGCACAACATGCATCTGTGAAGTCCGTTGATATGGTTTGCTGCTCCCACCCTCCCTGCCCTCCACCACTCCTGATCCCAAGCCCCAGCTCGGGTCCAGATCCCTGACTGACCGGCCTTGGTACGTCCTCCCAACGTGATAGGTAACTTGTTGCTGTTGTTGCTACCTTTGTAGAGGACAAACTACAGGTGTATCCTTAATCCATCTTGTCCGGAGACTGCTTTAGGTTGAGAGCAGAATACTACTTCAGTGATGCGTGTCGATACATGCTCAATGACACAGCATGACTAATATGAACTTTGAAATTTATAAATAACATACAGGTAATGGACTGTTAGGCAACTGGCTCTATCATTTGAAAGACCCTTCACCTCTGTAGACAACCCAGGGGATAATAATTGTGTGTTATTGACGGATGGACTGAAATGATCTGAAACAGAGTCTGATGTGTGATACATTTCTGCCATTGCATGTTGTTGAACCGGAAAGGAGTTGAGCACGTGGTGAATGCAATTGATTTGGGGAAGATATATTATTGCGATCTTACACTAGTAGAGAAGTAATGATTAACAATGCACTTTACCAGTACAAAGCCCTGGTGCGTTGTCCAATAATATAATAATCCTTGTATTTGATATCGCGCCTTAGCACGTCTTCGAGAAGTCTCAAAGCGCTTCACAGAATATACTGTAAAGTCAATTGACTGTACATTTTGCAGTCGAAACACGGCAGCCAATTGTGCACAGCAGCGTCCCCACAATCAGTCGTGGATTGTGTGATGAATTTTATTATTATTTTTTTGAAGGGATTATTTTGAAGGTCCTGTAGTCACTGGGGACGTGGGCCTTTTGGACTTTGGTCCGTGGGCTCAAGGCAAGCCTGCACCTCCCTCCTACTGCTGACTTTGTCTAAGGATTCTGCCCTCTCCCTCCCCGCAGGGTGTGTTCTCACCGTCTCTGGTCGGATGACATTCACGAGCAACAAATCCATGGAGATCGAGGTCTTTGTGGACATCGATCCCGTCCTAGAAAACTCCAAAGGGAAGACCGTTGCCGTGACTGCGTTCTTCACTTACGTTTCGCTGGACAAGCATGCAAAACCTCTGTCCGTCCCGATGTTGAAGGTCAGTCAATTCACATCTTGTCTTTGTTACCACAGCTCTGTATTTGATACGGGTCGTGGGGGCGTAACCATTGTCTTGGACCGTCCGCTTCCAAATTAAAATTTGTGGAGTCCTGTAGCTCAGTGGTTAGAGCACTCGCTTTGCAAGTGAGAGACCTGAGTTCAATTCCAGGCAGAGGGCGAAACCTTGGGCAAGTTTCCTTACTCCACACAGAGCCTAATAATAATCCCTCCAAAACCAAAAACAATAATAAATTGGTCATTTTCAATCTACGACTGTTTGTGGGACATTGCTGTGCGCAATTGGCTGCCGCCTTCGCCCACAAATATACAGTCAATTCACTTTACAGTGTGTTCTGTGAAGCGCTTTGGGACGTCCTCCCGACGTGAAAAGCGCTATATCAAATGCAAGGATTATTATTATTATTATTATTATTATAAAATGGAATATACGTGCTCCCCACGCGAACGATCTACTGCCCCACTGGAGCAAACTCCTCTCATCCCATTGCCTTGCTCCTTTCCCTGTTCCTTCAGTTTCATGTGTAGCATACGTGTGTGGAACTCTGTCTGGTTTGGATACTCTCAAGCACCGTTTCCGAATGTCTCAGACACCCAGCTGACTGTAAGACGAGCTACTATTTCCTAACAGGCTTCACTATTAAGTGATTTCCACCAAAACTGATGGACTCAGGCGAGGTACCAGAAGGGAGAGCATCTGGGACAATAATCTCCGCTCTTCCTTCCCATGGAATTAAACCGATAGGTAACATTCGAAGGGGAATAACTCCAGGGGAGAACTTGCAAGAGAGACTGAGAAAGAATCTCTGCCACACAGCACAGCATGAGGTTACATCACGGCTCCCAAGAGTGATTCTGCTGCATGATTTTACGCCAGGCATCACATTTCATTTGCACCATTTGTTTTAATTCACTGCTTCAACAATGTTCCTCCCCTTTCCTTTCCCCTCCCCCCCCCTACTTTTCTCAGCCTAACCTACACATACAGACGTTTCACTAAATTGCAGTCAATTCAATTTACAGTATTATATCCTGTGAAGCGCTTTGAGACGTCTCAACAATGTGATAAGGTACTATATCAAGTGCAAGGATTATTAGTACTATTAACCTGATTAATCTCATAGCACTAGCCTTGTTCTCAGGGGTACAAACTCTGCAGCTTAGGAAGAGAGGAAAAAAAAGATAGATAAAAAAAATGCAGTCAATTCACTTTACAGTATATTCTGTGAAGCGCTTTGAGACGTCTAGAAGACATGAAAGGATTATTATTATTAATAGATAGGTAGGTAGGTAGGTAGGTAGGTAGGTAGATAGATAGATAGATAGATAGATAGATAGATAGATAGATAGATAGATAGATAGATAGATAGATAGATAGATAGATAGATAGATAGATAGATAGATAGATAGATAGATAGATAGATAGATAGATAGATAGATAGATAGATAGATAGATAGATAGATAGATAGATAGATAGATAGATAGATAGATAGATAGATAGATAGATAGATAGATAGATAGATAGATAGATAGATAGATAGATAGATAGATAGATAGATAGATAGATAGATAGATAGATAGATAGATAGATAGATAGATAGATAGATAGATAGGCAGGCAGGCAGGCAGGCAGGCTGATGATTCACTGGGAGGGGGGGAAAAGATCCTATATCTTTCTTGATGTGCAAAAAATAGGCACGCAATGTCTCCTGAAAGTTATAAATAGCCTTTGTGGTGCATATAAATAGCTCTTTGACAAGCTGCTGGTCTCTGGTTATTTTTGAATTCAGGTGACATTGAGGAGGTTTTTTTTTCAGGCTATTTTAAAAACCTGCTCTTTCCGAAGAGGCCAGAGGGCTAAACATATCCCGTGCTCTTGCTTCCCGTTCCCTTGGGCTGCTCGTCTCGTCGCTCTATAAATCGATGCGGTAGTCACTTAGAACCGAAAGGCAGCCGAATATGCTGACACTTTTGAATAGACTTTTCTGGGCATTTCGACGCTCGAGGGAATTTAAAAAGAAGGGAGGGGGAGGTGTGGGGGGGGGATGTGAACACCGACTGGATAGCAAGTGCTTACATTCGCACAGCTCAACACATCTCACGTGCTTAAGACACATCTCGGAGCGCTTTACACAATGAGATTGAATCCGAAAGAAAATGAGGGCTCTAAAAGAAAATGCGGCAACTGTTTTGCGAGGGGTCGGGCAGAAAAGTCATTTGAATTATTTTCTTTTAAGGGGGGAAAAGGGGTGAATTGGATGCCTTCCCGAGGGAGAAGGGGCTAACAACAACAACAACAACTAGAATTCACGTAACGCCCTTCATACAGGGTAGTGTCTCGGAGCGCTTGACGGTGGCGGAGTCTTTAGCGTTTTAACGGTTCAGCGAATTCCTGGTCCCAGTTTATGGAAAACGTCTCGACCAAAGCCCGAGCATATAGAATGGATTTTTATTTTTAATTTTTAAAAAGAGTGAATTATTTATCGCGCTGGGCGGGGTAACAGTTTGATGTTAAGAGCCTCCCGAAGCATCCCCGATGCTCCTGTCAAGCAGTGCGCAGGATTTGTGCGGGGTCTGCTTGCTGCAGGCACATCCCAGTCACCGCCAAAGAGCTTGCTGAAATGGTGCACCGTTTCAGACAGATTGAAAATAACCAATTGTTTTCGGGCCCCGTGCCATCTTATCAATTGGGATCCGAGCCAGCGCTGAATTTTTACCTTGAATGAAAAATAATAATAATCCTTGCGTTTGAGGCAGAGCCTTATCACATCGTTGAGACGTCTCGAAGCGCTTCACAGGATATCACTGTAAATTATAGCAGTGTCCCGCAAACAGTCGTAGTTGAATAATAATTAGCATCCTCTTAATATAGCACCGATGCATTGCATACCAATCGGGGGGGTTGTCAGCCAGGACACCTGGAGAAACTCTCCTCTCTCCTATCACAAGATCTTTCACGTCCACCCGAACAGAAAAGGAAAGAATAGCCATGTGCAAAAGCCATGTACGTTTTGCAATCCAGGTAATTGCGAGACTGAATTTGCAGTTGCATTTCACCTCAGTTCCTCCAGGCTGGAGTAAATTGAAGACTCTCAGCATAAATACAAGGGTATGCCTTTTGCTGAGCACTGCCTTTGGTCTGTAATCTGCCGCCTTCAGTGTAAAATCAATGCAGCCTCATCTCGATGCGGTTTTCACCGATAGAGAACCAGGGATTGAAATTAATCTTTTTTTTGCTGGTAGAACATTGTGAATGGGGTGTAGCAGTCAACAGCCAATTCTCTTCTTTGCCAGGAAAGTCATTCCAAACTCTGTCCGCGTAAAAGTTTGTGAAAATAAGGAGTTTCAAATTACTCTCCAGAGCAAACAGAGGTCAGGACGGTGACTTATATCTTTACATTTAGCTTCAAAGATCTTAATGATCTTGTAGATTAAGAAAAGGACATTCGACCCATTGTGTCTGTGCCAGGTACTCGTTCCCCCACTGGAGCGAAGAAAAGTTTTCTGAATAAAATCTCCCCATTTGTTAGGTGATCGGCGTGTCACTTTTCCGGGGGTAATAATGCCTTCAAAAAAAAAAAGTGATAATAATAATAATAATAATCCTTGCATTTGATATAGCGCTTTTCACGTCGGGAGGACGTCCCAAAGCGCTTCACAGAACACACTGTAAAGTGAATTGACTATATTTGTGGGCGAACGCGGCAGCCAATTGCGCACAGCAATGTCCCACAAACAGTCGTGGATTGAAAATGACCAATTTAGTATTGTTTTTGGTTTTGGAGGGATTATTATTAGGCTCTGTGTGGAGTAAGGAAACTTGCCCAAGGTTTCGCCCTGCCTGGAATTGAACTCAGGTCTCTAGCTTGCAAAGCGAGTGCTCAACCACTGAGCTACAGGACTCCACAAATCACTCAATCCACGACTCTTTGTGGGGACGCTGCTGTGGGCAATTGCCAGCTGTGTTTCGCCAACAAAATATACAGTCAGTTCACTTTACAGTATATTCTGTGAAGCTCTTCGAGACGTTGCAAAGATGGAATAAGCCGCTATATCAAATGCAAGGATTATTATTATTATTATCCGTTAAGAAAGCGTGACTCCAATTTGGCCGAACCTCTGGGACAAAGGCATATTAACAATGAACTGTCTGATATTTGAGGTACCTGACGTGCTGGAACAGAGAGGGAAGAGCAAAAGTAAACGAGTGAACAAGCTGAAGTTTGTATCGGTTGATCTGATTTCCTGAGTGGATTCTAAACCTGCCGAAAGCCTTTGTGTTTGATGGCAGTCTGAAGCTTGCATTGTTAAGCACTTTGCTTCACTGCATGTCGAGTGTCTGCTGAGAATTGCCGTCTCTTTCGACAGAGACATATGCTCAGAGAAAGAACTGAACACGATTGGTAGGCAGGTAAAAGCCATTGCAGTGCTTCCCACCCACCAGCCCCTGCGGCATGTGAGAGATTCGTTGTTCCTCTTATTGATGGATGCCATCAGAAGTTTGACAAAGTATTTTTATACACGATTAGGAGGCACGTCCTTTATTGTTACTGTGAGTAGTTACTCATTGCGTTCAGCTCCAGAGAAGTTGAACGGTTCGTTCCTTATAGGACTTTTGGGATGGCTAAATGGAATATTGTACATCTATTGAAGTGAATACTGGTGTTCTGCAAGGACCCAACCCCATCTCTAACCATCCTTTTTTGTCTGGACTCTCTCTTATGATTCACAGAAGCCTATTTTCTATCAATACACAGTCACTACACCTTACAGTAGTGTAGTGTACAGTAGTGCGCCAGGCCATGTGAAGCGAGATCATTGGTGACATCTTTTTGAGCTAGATTTTGTGTTGAATTTGTCCAAAATCCAAGACCCAATTGGTATACATATCACACCAATCTTGTGAAGTGCTTTGAGATGTCTTGATAAAGAGCGACACAACACTATATCAAAACCAAGGATTATTATTAATACTCTTA